AAAAAAAAAAAACAACAAAAATATCCTCACTATTCCTCAAACAGTTTGATGTTACCGTTTTTCCAGTCTTTTTCTGACATATATCTGAACGATATTTGATCCACGTTCAGAACTGGGAAAAAAAAACAAAACAAAAAAAAAGTAACGTAGATAAGGCAAGCATGAAATTTTTGCAGCCATGCTTATTAATGCTCAGCTGAAAGTTCACCTCGTTCACCCAGTCATCCAGAACCGTTATCAAATCACGCACTAGAAACTTTCGTTCCACTAAATACGCAACAAAAACTGCACTTCCTTGTTCAATTTTTTGTTTCTTTTTTTTTATGTTTATAAGCAAAACCAAAGAAAGAACAGCAAAAAAGGCAACAAGCAAAAAATCATGAACAAAAAAAACTTTTTTTCGATGAAGTCAGCACTAGCCATAGAAGAAGCAAAAAAAAGTGCTGCCAAGACGAGAGATAAAACTAACACCAGAGGCAGCCAAGCAAACCAACAAATAAACAAACACTAAAAAACTTTACTGAAGTCCATAAATCTGCAAAGAAGAATGAGGGGAGTAGTGAAGTAACAGGAAGAGAAGAGAGAGATGGACGAAGAGGAGTAAGAGAAGGGAGTTAGGAGGAGAAGAAGAAAGAAGAGGAGCGGAAGGACGGGAGAGAAGATGAAGTAGGAAAAGGAGAATGTGAAACAAGCAGAGGTAACGGTAGACAAGGAATGGGAAATGAATAGCAAGCAAAAACAGTTGTCGTCAAGACAGCGACATGGAAGATCCATCAAACAGCACAAAGACGACGCACCAACGACCCCTATACACATCTGTAGGTTTCGGACAACTGCAATAAAACCAAACAGAACAAACAGATACGTCCAGGAACTACAAATTTTTTCGACCCGCCGCTTCTCAATGACAGCACGGCAATAGCGACAAGTACAATAATAGTCTTCTTCAACAACTAGTACAGTCTTTTACGCTGGATTAAGTACAGTCTTTTACGCTGGATCAATTAAGGACAAGTAAGTGTATAAGCAGTTTTTCGATCATTCTTTTAACAGAATATCTAATTGACCACAATAGAAATAACCACGTCACTTAACTAAAAACCAGTCAATTGAATGTTTCAAAAACTTTTATTACTGACCAAGATTACTAATGAAAAAACAGTCTCAGATGACCATAAGTTACAATAATGACATGTAAAATCTATAACACGATAACAACCAAAAAGTTATTTGAAAACAGAAAACCCTATCCGCGGCCACAGAACGTCTGATGATTTGGTCGGGTAGGTGGGATAGAGCAGAGAGAGGCACAGAGGAGGAGAGAGGATGACGGAAGGTGAGAAGGACAAAAAATGCTTAACCTCTCCCTCCAACCCCAGTTTACCACAACAGATAATACAATAACCAGGAGAATTGAATAAAAGAGGTGGAATAAAAGCGCCAAGACATAGCTGAAAGTTATTGTTAAAACTGAAAGAGTTTTATTTCGTTATACGCAAGCAGACAGTTCTAAAATGTACCAGTTTTCTAAACATTCTTCAAAGTTTATTTCCCAATTACAATTTTTAAATTTTTCTTTACAATTCTAGCAGACCAACTACACTTCTACTCCAGTTCCGCAAGCATCTATGCGTCATTCCTCGCCTGAAACAGCATTTAGTCACCCAGGATTAGCTAATCATTAAACTTTTTAAATTCCATTGCTTTTGGCCTTTAGCCTTCTTTCGTCTTTGACTGTAACAGCTTTTTTGACCCACAGATTATTAAGATTATAATCAATGGTATCCTTATTACAATTATTTACCTCTAGTGTTAAAATTATTCTTTAGTTGCTTAACACATGAGGAACATGAGTACCCAACCAGCTGTAAATCATTAATGGAGTAAATGTCCCAATTTTTTCCGCTTGTTCTAATGCTGTCAGGCAGATTTTTTTTTTTTCAAAGAGCAACAGTAACTAGATGGTTATTAATATTTTTTACCTTCAAACTCTTATAGTTCTTTTCTATTCTCTTCTCAGGTAATTCTTTACCCTAATACTCTGTAATTTTCCATCCAGGCAAATCGTTATTGAATGTTGCGCCCATAAAATACCGCATTTTACAAGGCTGAGCAGGTTCACAGAACATTTCTCAAACAAAATGATAATGAGATAACAACAAAAAAAGAACTAATCCTATTGTTTTTTGAGTTTTAGACGATTTTCAGTCTTCTTCGTCAACACTAATCCAAATTAATGAAAAAATTTGATGGCACAAAATACTAAGTTTTATCTTCCAAATTTAACCTCTAATTTGCTTGCCGTCTTTTAATTTTTTTCCGCCTTTTATCTCGTTTACACAAATTGTTTATTCCTACACTCTCAAACCTATTTAAATAATAGTTCTACACCAAAATATATATATATATATATATATATATATATATATATATTTATTTATTTGTTTATTTAATATATATATATATATATATATTTTATATATATATATATATATATATATATATATATATATGCATGCAAAAAAGTAAAGAAAATTCAACAACACCAACTCCAACGGCTCACATAACCATCTCAAATTACAGCGTTCCAAAAATTTAAAAGTTCTAAAATTTTCACATCTCCCAATTTCCAGTAAACGGCATTCTTCAAATCACCACTTTTTTAGCGTGCCCACTAATGCATAAAAAACGTCAACAAGGATAAAGTTTTATAGAAAAAAAAATAAAAACAAAATTTAAAAAAAAAAAAAGAAAACAGAAGTGAAATCAAAAAAGACGAATACGGTCAAGTTTTTATTTGTGAGCATTTGACTGATTCAGCTGTCGGAATGGCAAACTGCTGTTTTTGATGCAATTGCTACCACTGATGTTGAATGGTGCCTATTTTCGCTTTGTTAAAAATCAAACTTAACAGTCTAGGAAGCAGTCGAGAAGTCGCCGTCAAATTCTTGTAAATGATTACTTGAAGTATATGCAGCAATAAAACTACTGAAGTCGCACAAAGCTACTCACAAGATATTCCGCGCCATAGCTGCCTGGATCCGCATGTACCATTAAATAGTGAACAAATAGTGTGACTCAAAACTTAAACTTATAAATATACAGCATTGTTCACAAAAAAAAGATGTACATATTTCTCCACAATTTATGAAAATAACTAACGACATGTGGGAAATCTTGTATCTTTCTTCTGTCTATTGAAAAAAGAAGTATAAAAACAAATGAAAAACTGCATTATTACAGACTGCACGTGATAACCAAAACATTATCAATCAACTAATTTAAAAAAAATCTTACCTGTCCCAACTGTTAATATAATGAAACTCATTTGCTGTATTTACTTTTTCCGCCTTTTCTCTTCTGTCGCTTTCGCCTTCTCAAGAACCTTTAACCAGATTAAACAGCCCATAAACTGCCAAGGGAAATGAGTAACACCAATAACTATACAACAGCAGCCACAACAACATATGAATGAAAAATGATTACAGCAACTGTAAACAGTAGAACTTCAAAGTTAAAAAAAATTTAAGAAAAATGGTACTTAAAACAAACATCAGCAGAGGCTCAGTTGAGCAGAACACAGTGGAATTGTACAGATAAATAAACTAAAAATAATAACAACACCAATAAGAAAAAAGATGTTAATGACAACAACAGCAATAGTAACGATAGTAATAGTTATAGTAATAATAATCAGTATAATGATAATAATAGGAACAATAATAATAATAATAGGGTATTAGTTATTGGTATTACTGTTATTATAATATCATTGATATAATAATAATAATAATAATAATAATAATAATAATAATGAAAAATAATAATAATAATAATAATAATAATAATAATATTAATATTAATATTAATATTAATATTAATATTAATAACAACAAAAATAAACAATAACAATAAAATAATAACAATAATGAGAGAGACAAACAATAAGCAATAAATAATAATAATAAATAATAATGAAAATGGCAGCAACAGGAAAAAAGAAACTCCGCTGTCCAGGAAATATCTGCAACAATAGAGCCACTTCTCAAACTACCTGTTGGTAATTCAACCAATTTTTTTGTCTGTCCAGACTAAGCAGACACACTGAAGGCACAACTAGTTCAAAAAGAAAACGAATCTTGTTACTTTATTTCAATACTCTGGCTTCTGTCTCGAGGCAGCGCTTTAGAAGCTGCAGGCGCAACGAATACAAAAAACGAAAAAACTACTTAAAATTATTATAACTACATTTCCTACTTATTCATTTGTTTCTACATAGGAAGAGAAAAAACAGATCCTAAAAAACAGCCCACTTCTTTAGTTACATCACCGGCCGGGAAGAAACTTGCGTAAAGACTTCAACGAAACAACAGACACTTGCTTACCTCTTCTCGTTTATTTCTTTTTTTTCCTTCAAACACAAACTATCTATGGCCAAATATAAATTGCATCAAAACATCAATTAACAGAATCAAGACAAACAATAAAGCAAATAAATAAACAAACAACTAAACGAATAGTGGAATAAAACTTACAGATGGAATTTTTTGTTATTGCTGTAGT